TACCGTTGTCTGAAAACTGTTCTGGGCCAACTTCTCAGGTCAACGTGCCTTTGACCGATAGGTGGATTTTTCTTTCCTTCCAACCAAAAGGGAGAGGAAGAGTTTGTCAGTCATATTTCCGACTCCCGCCGTAGCGGCCGTGGCTCTAGAGGCACCCCTGCTTGGTTGTGGTGGTCCATGTCCGGGTGGGTGTCTGTGCTCATGCTCTCAGGCACCCCAGTGTCAATCTCGTCCTCCTCTTTGCTGGTGAGGGCCACTTCGTTCTCGTAGCAAAAGGAGTTTGCGTTAGAGAGAATGTATTTCTTTTCTGCTAAGTCTCTGGCACTACAGATGGGTGTGTTGGGCACTTCGTATGTTTTGTGGAACCTCGAGTAGTCCACTTTGTAGTAGTTTTTCTCTTCAAAGAGTACGGGCTCGTAGCGGTGGCCCCAGAGGATTTCGTTTGCCAGATAGGAGCTACGGCACTGGGTAGTCATGGCGGTGGCTTCCACCATGCCCTCCAATATTACTACAATTTCAAAGTCAGCATTGTCCATGTCTTGTTTGCTCAAGTCATACAAAGGACTGTCTTCATCTATTTCATGGACTATCGTAATTGGGGAGACCAGGAATATGCGGTCTATCCCGCTGTCAAACCCTACATTGATGTCTATTTGATCCAAGGGGATGTACTCCCCTTCCGACGTGATCCTGGATTTGAGGAGCTGTGCTCGCACATGTGCCTCCACCAAGTGGCTTTTCCTCAGGTTTCCAACACGCCACATCAGGCACAGTTTTCCGTCTCTCATGGCCACCACGGCATTGTGGCTGAAGACCAGCGTTTCATTCCTCTTTTTTGGCTTAGCCATCTTTGCCATGACAGCACCAATGATGAAAGCATCAATGATGCAGCCTACTATAGACTGGAAAACCACCATGAAAACTGCGATGGGGCACTCATCTGTGACACACCTGAAGCCATAGCCGATCGTGGTCTGGGTCTCAATGGAGAACAGAAAGGCTGCGGTGAAGCTGCTCACTTGAGAGACACAAGGTTTGCTATTTTCTTGATTCTCCAGATCCCCATGCAACAGCGCAATCAACCAAAACACACAGCCAAAAAAAAGCCAGGAGAGGATGAAAGTCAGGCAGAAGATAACTAGCATCCACCTCCAGCGGATGTCCACGCAAGTGGTGAAGATGTCTGCCAGGTATCGCTGTCCCTTCTCACCCACGTTAATAAACTGGACATTGCAGTGGCCGTCCTTCTTGACAAAGCGGCTCCTGCATTGCTGTCTGGTATGTACCTTACTCTTTCCATTCCCAAAGCCGTTGGCAACGGCCATGGTCGCCAGCTTCATGCCGTCCTCTTCCGAAGACACGATGCTGTAGCGGTTGGTTCGCACGCTGCCCATCACTACTGCTGTGGACTGAGGTGCTTCTGCTTTAGAAAACAGTCTAAGTTTCTGCAAAACCCTTTGGAGAAACAGTTTTGAAAGTTCTAGAGGAACACACACACACAGAAAAACTGGGGAGAGGCCGGAGTCCCCAAAAGCCCTTGGATCAACCAAGGACAGTCTTCTGGCATGCAGAGTTAGCTTAACAAGTAACCGTCATAGAGAGGGCATGGTCTGCAAGAGAAAGAGAAACGTTGTATTAGATCTTGGAGGAAAAGTATGAGGAATCAAACCTGAAAGAACCAAGTAAAATTCCTCCTGTGGAGACCCGCAGGAAGTTTCCTTCTTCTTAGCGACAGCATTTTCTGGAATGCCCAACGTGCGCAATTGTGTATTGACAGAAATGACATCATTACTACAAAAAAGGCATCACTCTTCCCCAGTGAAAGCGCTGAAGCGATCACGTCACACAAGTCTCCAAGTAATATTCGCTTTAAAGCTGGTCATACAAACTCCCCAGCCACTATTTACAACTGCACTTTGTGTGTATTTTGTAGCAAACAATTAGCGTTAACATCTGTCTGTTCAAACACAAACACTGAGGCAGATTTCAGTCCCATACAACGGGTCTCCTGGACTGTTTTACCTACGACAAACGAGGGAGCATGCAAAAGGGAAGATGACGTTTACTGAGAAAAGCAATAAACTTGGAAAACACAGATGTCAGTGATTTCCATGAAATCGCGTATTACTTTTTTTTTTTTTTTTTAAATTAAGTTAAAAAAAAGGAGCTGTGTATTCTCTGTAAAGGGCAGGAATAAGAGTTGCATTAGTTCCTCTGTAACTCCATGAGCTCATTGGGATCTGTGCGGTTTTCACACTCACATTAGGCTTAAGTCACACAAATCAAACTAAACCTTTTAACGACCCTTATCTGCTCCTGCTGATGCAACCAGCAAAAGGCTACGACAGAGTAGAGACAGGCTGAGTGTCTTCCAACACCTTTGGTAGCAAGTACCACAAGCACCAGCACCTTCCCTCAGGAGCCCGAGGCAGCCGGTTCTGTCTCCAATGGGTAACGGTTCTGAGCGTCCCATGGGTCTTAAATGTCAGCAATTAAGACTCAGCAGAGAGGCCACAAAACCTTCTTCCTGAGGGTAGAAGCCACCAAACTTGTTTCAGGGAGGTCTGGCTTAGACCCAGGTTTAGCTTTTAACAAGTGCGTCATCCATTAAGTCATGCACTGTATATCAGGAAATGTAATTGAAACACTGTAGAGGAGCAGAGATGCATTAATGCAACTGCTCCGTCCACACATGCGCCCCACGGAGGAAATAAAACTGAAACCGAGTGATGAGGAATGTCTGCTGTCCGTTTGTCACAGGAGAGGGGACTTTAGCACCGTCTACAGTAGCGGGGGATTAAGTCGCGATGCTCTTCATAAATCAGTACTATCCAAACTGGTCCGAGCTGGTCCAAAACCCAACAAAGCTGCAGCCGCCAAGGAGCACAACTGCTGCCCACGAAGCAGCTTCGGCACTCTGTGCCTTTTCCTCTGGCTTGCATCCGACAACAGCTCTAGGTAAGAGTTTATCTCCTTTCCCAAAAGCAGCTCCTGAAGCCCTGCAGAGGTGTTCCAACAACTTGAAGGATTTCAAACAGTTTCTCAGCCCTCCCACATCCTTCAACCACGTTACAGGAGCTTTAGGTCAGCAAACACTTGTTAGGAAAAGAGCAGGTGACAAACAGAACACACCACTGAGCTCGCAGATGCATGCAGGCTGGTTTTCCCTCTAGAATAATTTGGGGTTTACTTTTACCTTCTCGCTTTTTCCCTCACTTCTGTTTGTTGTGCAAGAATGCGTCCCAACGCCTACTTGCCCAGATTAGTCATCTGTGACTTCAGCGGCGTACAAGACATTTTGGCAGCTTTTAATAGGTTCGGTAATGCCCGATTTTGAGCACAGCTCTCAGCAATGCAGACTTACAGTATAGCTGCCCTCTTACTTATCTGACTATCTTGCCTGTGCTGTGTAGGGATTCTCACTTTTTCCCTCTCACACCTTTTTGATCGTGGTGTTTCCCATTCCTGTCGGGATGTCATTCCCAAAAATACAAAAGAAATTCTTTTAATGATCACTTCCATTATTTTTTTTTGGCTGAAAAATACTTTTATTAGAAATCTGAACACAGGGGGAAAGTGAAATGACTGTTAATACATTCCACAGAAAAAACTTCTTGAAAAACCATTGCACTGGCCTGCAAATCGATCACTTTTATAAACCACATCCTATAATCACAGTCATGTTTGACTTCCACATTCAAAGTCTGTTTTGTTCCAAGCTGATGGAAACACACCAGCCTAGGAAACGGTTTATTTTGAAGTCTTTTTTTTTCTTCCCCCCCTCCACATTGTCTCTTGGATTTTAGAGGAAAACTTGTGGTGGAGGGAAAGATAAGCTGTAAAGTCTCAAGTGTCTGAATATGCAGCGCACATACACACACACACACACACACACCCCCTCCCTGCAAAACTCTTGACCCGAGGACATTTGTTTGAATTCCACAAATCACTGAAATCCTAACGCCAGCTTCCTGCAGCGAGCTGGCTGCATTTAAAAGTTTGGGACCCGAATTAGGTATCGTACGTTGTCATATTCCTACTCTGAATGGCTGAGCACCTTCTACCTACCGTACCTTGCACGGCGTTTCTCCTTCCTGGCTGCACCCTGTCGATGCTCTGCCCTTGGGAGCGGACCTGCACCGATTTGGCTCTAACGATCCTTAAACTCGGGGGCGTGCCTGGGAGCACCCTGTGCTACCTTTACAGACTGCTTGAAGTTTATACAACAAAGCTCTGGCACGCTCCACCGCAGCGGAGTTGTCTTCTTTCTTTTACAGCACAACTTGCCTCTCTTCCTTGCAAGTGCTTGGAGCGGGGAGGATGGTGGGATGGGAGCACGACCAGCCCCGTGCACAGGGACCGGCCAGCACAAGGCAGCAGGTCTGATCTTGCCCCCGCTCGTGGCAGCACAGGCCCTATAAAATGCTCGATAGATCCACTGGCTGCCTGATCCCACACCTGACGGGTGTTCACCCTGACTTTCACAACTAATTTCAGTAGAGGTTCCCCCCAAATTCCCAGAAACAGTCAAAGCAGTATGCGAATCCACAGGGTGCTTCTTATTTTGCTAATCCACCTGCTGCTCCAAGGCAAAACAAGTTTGCTGTCCCTCACCCCATTATCAGTTGTTCGTGGCACCGAAGATGCCAAGCCACTGTGGGACCAGCCCTGCAACCCTCACCAGAGAAGTGAAGCAAACCCAGTACCCACCAACCAACCCAAATCTTTGGATAATGGGGCCCAACGCAGTGCAGCCAGACACATACACACACGCAGCTGTAAATTCAATCATCACTAGGTGTGTTATTATCATTATTAATTCAGGCTACCTTTCCTCCTGGAAGAGAATACAAGGCGAGAGCGATGCAGCTTGTAATTACCAGCACTGGCACCGGCGCAGCATTACTGGGAAGGGATGAAATGGGATGGGAGAGCCCCAGGCTCGCTCTGCTGTGAGGGGATGCTTTTTAAAAAAAAAAAAAAAAAAAAAAAAAGGTCTGTGCTGCATCTGCAGCATTTCTGAACCAACATCTGTGGAAAAGCCGCAATGAGGAGCCCAACCCCTCACTTTGCCCTTAGCAAGCATCCCCCTCCAGACCTCCCCCCAGGAAAGACACTCACGCCGCACGTCTAAACTCCGCAACGAACAGCTCGAAGGGAATTTGTGCAGAAGGCTTAATATTGGGCAAAAACTCTGAAGTGCAAAAAGAGC